CACGGCTGAGGTCTTGTCAAGTTAGGTCTGTGCTCTACTCAGCAGACGCCAGGCCCTGCTGCCCTCCCCTCCCGGTGGTTCCCTAATCTAGGTTGATTCGGGGAACTTCCAGGAAGAGAGGTACTCTAGATAACTTTTTAAAGGGACCCCTCGGAAGGACATCAAGAAGAAATGCTTCGGTGAGGTCTGGGGCCGTTTTCAACCAGGGGGCTTCCTGCGGCCCCTCCAAGTACGTCATAGATCCAGAAAGTCCAAGGTGCCTGGACCTTCATAGTAGTAACTGGGCTGGCCCTCAGTGTGGATGCATGGCCCTAGAGCCCAGAGTTCATGCACAGCCCATGTTTGAATCACTGAGCATGCGTGACCGATTCCACTAGGCCCACACTGTGTTCTGAGGTCAGTTCTCCAGGTGTGGTCCTGGGGTTCCCACCTCTTTCGCACACCTTGAAGGCAAGCTTTGCAAGAAGAACAAAGACCCTGCTGACTGCTGGGATTTAGAAACCTGAGACCTTGTCAACATCATCTTCTTGCCTCTGCCCTCTTATTGTCATCCTGGTCTTGTCGTTGCCGTTACTGTTGTCATTCGGTGCCTTTCTAACCCCCGACTCCTGGTGACCCCGTGCACAATGGGACCACTCGGGCTCCCTCCGCACCACAGGTGGCACACAGGCCGTGGTCCATCCCCAGGGATTTTTCACTGGCTGATGTTCAGAAGTGGGTCAGCAGGCCTCGCTTCCTACTAACTGATCGGGAACCGTAAGGTTTCTTCTCTTGGCCTGGCCTCTGCCCTGCTCAGTCAATGTTACCAAGCTCTTTGGGAGCGACTGTGAAAGAGGAGCCCTGGGGGTGTGGTAGGTGACCCATTGGGCTACTAACTGCAGGCTGGCTGTTTGTCGTTATCCCATTAAAAAGTGGCAGTCTCAGAAACTCACAGGGGCAGTTCCACCCTGCCCTGTAGGGTTGCTGTGGGTCGGCCTGGCCCGATGACGCTGAGTCTTTTGAACTGAGTGCTTTTTACAATAATCCAGATGCTCAGCTCCTCTGATGCTGGCCATGTGGTTATTCTTACAGCCTTTTGCTCTACTTTCTGTGTATCCAAACCAGCAGACCAAGCCCCATGGGCTCCGGTAGATCCAGCTTCACAGGCACCCGCAGTAAGGGGCAGGACTGCCTTCTAAGATTTCTGAGACTGTTAAGTCTCTATGGGAGCTGGCAGCCTCATCTTTCACCTTGCTGGGCTCGAACCCCTGACCTGGTGATGAGCAGCCCAACTCCAACCCTGTCTGCCACCTGGGCTCCTGGGCTCAGCATGCCCTACTGGAAAATGCCTGCTGGGCCTTCAGTGCTGTCAACAGTGCCAGCATCTCCACGGGCCTTTGAGAACATCACAAAGGGCTGGCCTTTATTTATGTAGACATTTAAAGGCAGCTTTACCTTTTCAGGGATTTTAGTACAGGCAGCCTCAGAACTACCATTCTTCTCCCTAAACAAAACCAGCCCAGAGAACCCCTCCACGGTCACTTGAAGCCTGCTTACCGCATTGCCATGGTAACTATTCAGAGGCGCTATGCAAAGCTGGGCATGAATACCATAAATGCAGCTGAGCTCCCAGAGGGGGCTGAGTCTCCCAGGACAGCAGGATGGCCTGATTTCCTCTCTCCAGTGGGTGATCTTTAAAAAAGAAAAAGAAAACAAAAAGAATTGAGCTGCTGGCTTTGCGATCGATCCCTCTGCCCATTTCTTGGTGCACACGGGCCGGCCAGCGCTTCCTTCCTCCTGGCAGAAGTTTCCGCAGTGACTGCCGTGGTTCCAGCCTCCTCCTGGGGGCTGGCCTTTCCGCGGAATCGGGAATTAATTCAGCGACACAGGGCAGCGGATAGGACACCGCCGCTTACAGGGCTGAGCATGCCCGCCCCCTGAAGAAAGCCTGGTGTTATGTCTGCGGCCTGAGAAGGTCGCAGCCGGACTGCTAATGACGCAGCCCTGCACAGTGGCCACAGTCTGAAAGGGAGAGGGGAAGCCAAAGGTAGGAGCACTCTTATTTGCCTGGCTTAGAACTTTTATCCCACTTGCTGCGATTGCACTAGAGGGAGGCTTGGCCGCTGCTGCAAGGGAGCCCTAGGAGCAGTTGCCCTCGGCTTGTTCTGAGAGGCAGAAAGCGTCCTCGTGTGCGCAGATGGGTAAGCGCTGCTTTCGGTCCTTGGGACAGGTAGGACTTGCTGATCAAATTAAAGATAAAATTGGCTTTGGAGGCGGGAAGGCATTCCTTGTCCTTTTGATATGGAATTTACCTCCTCTGGAAAGAGCCCTTGGTAACCTTTGGCTCTAGGGGCTGGTGGTGTCTTGTGGGACCGGGAGGCGCTTCTGTTTGCACTTGGGATTTCAAAGAATTTCTGTGTGGCCCCCAGGCCTGTGCTTTGGGCTCTCTAACCTGCAGTCGCGCTGGCTGGCCCTGAAGTTGGGAAGCGTGAGAAATGAGAGCAGTTAGCCAGCATCTGTTGAATGCTGCATGCTTGCATCACACAAGAGAACACCTTTCAGCCATCTGCCAGGGACATCTGGCCTTGGCACAGGGGGTCTCTGGGTCCCTCAAACTGGAGGAGTCCCCTTGGGAGAAGGGAAGGGAGCATGCTTGAGATGCTAATCTCTCTCTGCCCTCAGCCTGGAACCTTGGATGTCTATTCACTTGCTAACGATGCTCCATAATGGCTGGGCCTGCGGTAAAAGGGAGTTACATTTGAAAGAAGTGAATGAGCAAATAGCCAACCCACCAGGCACCCACTAGGCTCCCACTTTCTGGGAGAGACTTACCAGAGGGGTCTTTGGGAATTGGTTGATGATGTTTTGCTTTTAACATCTTTCTTTTTAAATCAAGCTCATTCATTTCACACACATAGTTTTGACCTTTGCCAGGGGAAGGTGACTTGGAGGACATGGATGGAAAAGTAGTATATATTGCTACTTCTCAGCGGTTAAGCACTGCTCCGGTAACTGAAAGCCATCTGCTACCTAGGGTCTTGGTGTTCTGGTTCTGCATTGGGCTGCAATCTCTAAGGTCAGCAGTTCGGCACCGCCAGCCACTCCTCGGAGAAAGATGGAGCTCTCTACTCCCATACAAGAGCTACAGTCTTGGAAACCCACAGGGGTAGTTCTACCCTGCCCTAGAGGGTCACTCACTATGGGTTGCATCAACTCGATGGTAGTGAGTTTTTGAGGTTCCCAGAGTCTGAGTACTGAGCTGGTGGACAGGAGCCGTAGTGGCACAGTGGGTTATGTATTGGGCTGCTGACTTCAAGGGCCAGGGGTTCGAAAATACCAGCTGCTCCGTGGAGAAATGGCTTTTTACTGCCATAAAGAATTAGTCTTGGAAACCCACAGGGACAGATCACCATGAGTTGAAATCTACTTGGTGGCAGTGAGTTTTTGGTTTGGGTGGTGGGTCCCAGGGCAGAGATGGAGGGGGCTGGAGGGTGCGAGCCAAACAAGCATGCATGTACATCCTGGAAAGAAAGACATGATTAGAACTATAACTCCACCTGGGAGCTGCTCACCACTGAAACTGGAAAGTCTGCTGTGCCTGTGGAGCCAGGAGCCCTGCCCTGGCCACTGCAGCCCCCTGTGCCCGCCTTTCCCTCTGGTTCATCTGGTATAGCCCCATGGAGGGGGCCGGGGGCTAGTCAGACAGCGCCCACAGGACCAGCACGCTGACCCTTCCCATACGACAGACATAGCGTGTCTTTAATAAACATCATCATGTCTGGGGTGACAGCAGATACAGCAAATTGTGTTCCCCTGTGACAGTTTCTACACAAATGGACCCAGCCGTCCCACGTGGTGCCCACATTCTCCTTACGTGCCCTGGTTCCGGGACATGTCTCATTCAGTGCCCACATTCTCCTTTCTTGTCCTTGTAGCAAGCTCATGCACCACAGAAGGGAACCCTGCCCTGCCCGGTCCTGCGCCATCCTCACAGTCGTTCCCATGGGTGAGCTCATTGCTGCAGCCATGGTGTCCATCCATCTCACTGATGACCTTTTCCAGCATGCCATCGTTCTCAGCCCCCTGGCCTCCTCACCTGCACGATGTTGCTCAGGTGGAAAGCCTGGCCTGTGGGTGCCTACAGAGAGAGAGGTTTTCAGTGGTGGATTGCTTAGACACATCGCCATCGCGTGGGTCCTGAGCCCTCCTGCTCTATGGGGTTTCGGAGATGAAATCTTGATTGGAACAGATCAATGCAAACCAGACTCACTGCCTCTGAGCGGATTCCAACACACAGCAACCCCGTGGGACAGGGCAGGGCTGCCTGGTGGGTTTCTGACGGACTGCAGGAGCAGCCAGCCGTCTTTTTTCCCCCAGAGAAGCGGCTGATAGGCATAAGCCGCTGACCTTGCAGTTGGCCATTGGGTGTTTTACCTGCTTAGCCAGCACCTTGTCCCTGATTCTGGGTGCCACTCTTCTGATGAAAGGTGAACTGGGGATCAATTGGGTTCAGGGTTTAGAGGGTGCCCTCTAAACTCTCCCTACCTACCTGTTTCCTGGGTACCCCCCAAAGCCAGGGACTTGGCCCTGTTCCAGTTAGTGAGTGGCTGGGACCTCTGTGGCCCTGGGTGCACATCTTTCATAGGACTGTGTCCCCCTGCCTGCTTGATGGAACTCTGCCGTGCCCTGCCCCCCACCTCACTGACCCCGCCCCTTACGCACTGTGGCGAGAGCCCTGTGCCCCTAAACCCCACCTCTTGCTCTAGTTATTTATGTGTACACTCCTGGAAGTGGCGGGTAAAGGGGGCGGGGGTGGGTGGGGCCATGCAACTCGAGTCGCCCCTCCCTCCTTTCACAGCGAACCGTCCCAGGAGGAGCTGGGACCACTTTCTCCTCCCTCAGTCCCGCCAGCAGTGGGGCTACACCTTCCCAGGTGTTCTTCCTCCCGCCGCCCCGCCCTCCTCGATCATGTGACCGCCCCTCCCCACCCCCCAATTCCAGATGGAGGCAGAACCTGTCCTAGCTCTGCCCTCGCCCGCCGGCTTCCCTTCACCTCGGCCTCGGTGAGTGTCCCCCCTCCTTTTGAACGTTTGCAGCAGAACCTCGGAGCTGGGCGCCGGTTCCCAGCTCCCGGCGTCTCCGCCGCCCGCCCCGCACTTTGCACGGACTGGGTGCCCGCGACCAAGTGCTTCCAGCCCGCCCCTCCCCCAGCCAGCCGCCCGCCCAGCGGACTTTTGGGTTGGAGGGGTGGGGGCTGCCCTTCTACCAACACCCCCCCCTCCCTCCGTGGCAGCGCCCCGCCCCCGCTCCCTGGGTTGCAACACCAAAAATCTCTCCGCTATTTCCAAGTAACCCCCAGGGGACAAAGTTAGTCCAGGCTGAGAACCACTGGCCTCAGGCTACAGCGCGGAGGGTTTCCTGGGCATAGGGGGTGGGGGGGACTTGGTCTTGTTTTGTGTTACCCTTTTAAAATGTTTCCTCCGGACTCCATTAAGTAAGATGAGGCTGTTTACAGCCATGAACACCCCCTTTCTGGGGAGTGGGGGGGGAGGATGCTACTTGTTTCTCTCAGGTCCCTGAATTGGAATCGATTTGATGGTGGGGAATTTGGTTTGTGTTTTGCTCTCTGTGAGCACGGTGGCTACTCTGGGGGTGCGGGTGGGGGTTGACTCCTGGGCTGTAACTGCAAGGTGTGCAGTTGGTACTCACCAGCCGTTCTATAAGAGAAAGGTGAGGCTTTCAACTCCCATAAAGAGGTACGTCTCAAATCCATAGAGGCAGTTCTACTCTGACCTGTATCACCAGTTGGGAATTGGCTGGACGGCAGTGGGTGGTTTTTCCAGGACGTAGTGGCTTAGCCATTTGGCTGCTAACCCCACAAGGTCAGCGGTTTGGAACCACCTGCTGCTTTTGTGAGAGAAAACTTCCCTTCGTGACGTTAGGGTGCCTGCGAATGCTCCCATCTCTTCAGCATGGTGGAAACAGGGAAACACGTGTCCTCTAAGGTTTGCCCCATGGCACCCAGTTTGGCATGCACACGTTTCTGTGCTCTGGCCGTGAGAGGGGCGGGGGGAGGGTGTCCTGGCTGGCCGCCACTGCCCCAGTTCCCCCGCTCCGAAAGCCCACACTGGCCCTTTGACGGTGCCACCAATTCTCCGCCCGCCGCAGCCTAAAAGAGAGCACTGTTCCACTTTGGAACTGCCCTGTTAGGAAGTGAGAAGGGGGGGGGGGGCGGGCAGTGGTCTCCTTCTCCCTGTGGCCAGGCCCAGCCAGACCCGGTCACGTTTCTCCAGCACACAAATGCCTCAGATGATTTCATGACTCTTTTAAAAATCCTCCCTTTTCTGGCAGACTGGAAAGTGAAGTGCACAGGTGGGTCAGCAAGTCAGGTGACCCCCAAGGGTCCGATAGGTTGATAGATCCCATCCCAAGGGGTGGGATTTTGAAAATTCACTCTTTCAGAGTCAGACGTGTGCTCAGTCCCCAGTGGGACGGTTTCAAAGACCCAAACTCACTGCCCGCCCCCCCACCCCCCAATAAGACAGGAGGGTAGAACTGGCCTTGCGGGTTCCCCAGACAGTAACTCTTTATGGGAGTAGACAGCCTCAGCTTTCTACTGCAGAGTGGCTGATGGTTTTGAACTGCCAACCTAGGCAGTGAGCAACCTGACACGTGTCCACTGCGCCACAGGACTCCTGGGGGAACTTCTTAAACAAGGAGGAATCACGGGAGAGAGTTTGAGGACAAATGCTGATGCTCAAGGGAAGCCCCTCAAGCTCACAGGCTGATCTGCACCAAACAGCTCTTACCTGTAGCGTGCTAACTGGGGTTTGCAGAAGGGAAGGAGGGGATTTTGCTTGGCTTGTTGTTATTGACTCTGACATGGCTTTGATATTGGCCTGTCTATTGGATTCGTTGGCTGTGTTTGCCTGATCCAAGTGAAGCCTGGGCTGTGGGGTTTACGTTAGACCTGTGGTACACAACAGTTGCAGCCCTACCCTTTTTAATGAGAGCTGCCTTGCTTGCAAATTAGGGCAATGAGGCCTTGGGGCCCTGTGAGGAGGTGGGCGAGCAGGTTGGGCCAGCTTGTGACAATGACATTTGGGGTTGGATTCCAGGCTTCCCACACATTGTCTTGCTGTGGCTGGGCCCCCCTGCTGCTGGGGGATTCTGACTCCTAACCCCCTCAGCCCCACCAGGCCTGAGGGGAGCTGCCCCACAGGGTGGCTGAGGCTTTACTCTCTAGGGAAGCTGGCTGCCCTGTCTCTCTGCCCTGGGTTCAGCCTGCCAACCTTGCATTGTAGCAGCTCGCTGCTTGACCTTGGCACCATGAGTTCCTTACGGAAGGTGCAAATGGCCACAAAAGCGGCAAAGCTCAGCATAACCGCATGACCATCCCGAGTGGCCATTGTCTGCAGCCCTGTTACATCAGCAGGTGGGCCACTTGCTGGGTTGAGTCTGCTCACCAGGGCTGCTTGCCAAAGGGGCAGCCGGATTACCCAACCCGGGGCTCTGCCAGCATCCACATCATTAAAGCCTTTCCTTCTCATGCTCAATTAAAAACAGAAAAAGGATGACAACACAACTGCCGCTTGTTCTCCTTGACTCCCCTTGCCTGCTCAGGGCACCTTCCTTCTCCTTGTGAAAGGCTTCCAACCGGTTCTTCTCAGTTCAGTCCTACCCAGCAGAGCGAAACCACAATGGACCGAATGTGTAAAACATAGGTGTGCCAGAAAGATAGATGGAAGGGGGTGTGTGTGCAAAATCATAGGTCCGTGCCCTGTTGGAAACATCTCCTTTGTAGAAAATGAGGGTGGCATGTGTTGCATAGCAACCAAGCGTCTTGAACAGAAGAACAGAAACAACGGCCCCCGGCTCAAAGATGGCGCCCAGCCGCAGTGCTTTGGATGGGGGTCACTCGCTCTCCACAGTTCTGGGAGTGAGCCAACATGTCCCATGTGGGGCTCCTGAAAGGGCCCGCCACCCCTCTTCCGAGTGTCCCGCTCCAAGACTAAAGCCCATGAGTTTGCCCGTTCTGCTTAGCATTCTGTTGGGCCCTCACTGCAGAGTCAGATCCGTTCTGGTGTTGCTGCTGCAGCCATGGTTGGGCTGGTGGAGGCCATGGGTGTTACTGATGAAAAGCATTGACATGACCACGAAGGCAGTCTGGCACTATAAGAAGGGACTTTTTAGCAGCCAGCCTGTATGCACAGGGATTTGGGGTTTGGGTTTATTTTTGGTTTTTTTGGTGGTTCTTTGTCCTCTTCAGTCCATTAAGCGTGTGTTCCCATACTTACAATGCAGAGTGTGATCTGCGGGGGGAGCCTGGAGACCAGAAAGATGAATGAACCTTGGAAGCCGGCCAGGCCCAGACTCTGAAGCCCTGGGTAAAAATGGTTACAGACTCTCAGGTTGAATATTAACTCCACTGGGGGGCTGGGTGCGAATGAGCAGATGGGGAAGACTAAGGGGAGAAACACATCTGGCCCAAGGCTCATTCTCAGTCAGAGCCATGCCTGCACACACACCAGCCTCGCCTCGTGCCCTGGTTCATGATTCCAAAGCAATACGTGGAGGGAGATGGAGGCTCAGGGTCCCCGATGGATAGGACATCCTAGTCGGGTTTCTGGAGCCCTGGTGGCGTAGTGGTTATGCGTTGACCTGCTAACTGCAAGGTCAGCTGTTCAATACCAACAGCCCCCTCCCCAGGGTCAAAGACGGGGCTTTCTGCGCCTGGCAGGATTAACAGTTTTCTCTGAAACTCCCGGTGGCATTTCTGTCCTGCCCCGTAGGCTCACCGTGAGCCGGAACCTACTCGCTGGCCCTGGGTTGTTGGTAGGGTTTGGTTCCACCGGTTCTGCGGCCCCTCGTGCCCCTCGTCCAGCCTGGTGGCAGCACGTTTTCCTGATTCTCCAATGAGAGCGACTGGACTGAGGTTTTCCTGGCAGGCACCATGGTCTGTCATTAGGCCCCTGCGTGGGGTAGCTGCCGTGAGGACAGAGCCCAGTCCCCAGTCCAGCGTGATCCCGGGCACAACGGGACAGCACACTGCCCTCCCATTGCTGCCTCCGGATCCGCAGGGATCAATCGTTATGATCTATTGGGTTCCCACTGGCCCGATTTTCAGACGTGGATCACCAGACCTGTCTTCCTAGTCTGAGTCTGGAAGTTCTACCGAAAGGCGCCGAGTGTCACGGCGGCTCCTGTTGGTCACTGACCGCGGTGGCGGCGGTGCCTGAGATGCCGTCTGCATCATCCAGTGCTGCTGTCCCAGGAACCCCACCACCATGGGTGGTTTTCCAGAACTTAGCGCCATCGAGTCCGTTCCAGCTCTTAGTGACCCTGAAGAGCAGAACTGGCCCCTGTGGGTTTCCAGGAAGGCCACCCTTTATGGGAATTGTGTTAGGTACCATAGGTACCAATTGTTGTCCGCTCCTGCGCCGTGCTCACAATTGTTCCTGTGCCTCAGCCCATGGTTGCAGCCACCGTGTCAATCCATCTCATGGAGGGCCTTCCTCTTTTGGGTACAGGGTCCCTCCACTGTACCAAGCATGATGTCCTTCTCCAGGGACTGGTCTCTCCTGATAACCTGCTCAAAGTAAGCCTTGCCGTCCTTGCCTTTAAGGAGCACTCTGGCCTTCCTTCTCACAGCGGTGGCTGTCCCAGTGCAGATAAGCTCATCCTTTTAGCTGTCCATGGCACTTTCAACCTTCCCAAGCACCAACCGCAATTCAGATGCTTGGTTGCTATGCAACACATGCCACCCTCATTTTTTACAAAGGAGATTGATTATGTTTCCAACAGGGCATGGACCTATGGTTTTATTATTCAGCGTCCCACTTTCACATGCTTTATGGGACTAGACAGCCTTGTCTGGCCCGAGGAGCGGCTGGCTGGTGTTTTCAAACCGGTGACCTTGTGGTTAGCAGCCCAACACATAACCGCCGTGCCGCCGGAGCACAGCGAAATGTGGGGAGGACCCGGCTCAGTGGAGAGCAGGTGCAGTGGCGGGGAATCCAACCCTGGTCTCTAATGGAGGGTGAGAAGTCTCCCCCTGAGCCGG